GTATACCTCCAACTATTGTTTTTTTAATTTCATTTATACCTCTTCCCTGCTTGTTATGCTGAACTCTGCAGAATACTTGCTGTAGTTCCTTTGTTATTTTCAATCTTACTTTATAATTGATGGACTTTGAACCTTCTCTAGGGTCTCTTCCCAAGAAGGAGAATGTTTCTGCTAACAACTGGGCCACACTTGTTCTACGTCGACCCTGTGAACATGGTGTTGAAGGGGCAGATACCTTGGGATCCAACCATCACTCCAGAAGCAAAGAACTTTAAAACATTTTTTGTTCATACGGTAAAGGCTCTGGAACTTTTGTTTTCTTTCTTAGATTTCTTAATTGATCAGAGTAGGTTAATTCTTAGTAAAATATACAGAAAAATTTATATTGGTATTATTTCTTGAATATATATAAATGAAGCATACCATTGGTTAAATTCCTGTTCTTCTGGTACATGTATATGGCTAAGAGCTTTTGATTGAACAGAAATTTCACTTATGCACATACGTATATATGTATATCATAATTCTGTATGCATATCTGTGTTATTTTTATTATTTATTCATAATCGAGATTCAATTTTGCTTTTGTTCAACAGCCCAACAGAACTTATTACCTTGAAGAACCAAATGGATTTGCACTGGAGTGGTGTAAAGCCATAAAAGAAGTGAAGGCTTTCTATTATCCAAACACTAGAAGCTAGGCAGCAAGTGGGAGGCAGTGGCAGGAAGCAGGGGAAGCTACGTGATAAATCTGGAACCAAGTTGCTGGTCAACATAGGAAGAGTAACACAGTGTGTTGTATCTTGACATCTAAGTGCATATAAATGCATTGAGAATAGAAATGATCAAACAATGATAAATTGTATATCAGTGCATTTGTTTATAATGAATAATTATTTAATGAATACAGATTGTTATGTAGATGTAATTCTTCTGTACTTACTTTAACTGTGATGATGGCAAGCTGAATATGCACCTTTAAAAAAAAACTTTTCATTTTAAAAGTAGTCATTTTTTTATTTTAGTGGGTGACTTGTTTCAAACTGAGCAGTGGTGTTTAGAAATGAACACTCAATAGTTATCATGTAAATGATTAGTAATCTAATTACTCTTGATATAAATAACCCAACTAGTGCATTTTTACTTCTGTAGGAAAATGTATGTTACTGAAATTTTTACTTGTGTTTTAAAAGTTACGTTTCGTTGTTTGATGAGTAAGAGTTGTGACAGGTAGTGTTGAATACATGTGGCATGTAAAGAGCCAGTCTTATATTTATATAGATTGGGTAGAGGTACCAGTTAGTGCACAAAACTTTTTTTTTTCCATTTTCATTTTAGGAAACTGAATGGAGTGCTTTTTTGAAGGTCATGGTTTCGTCATACCAATAGAATTCAAATATCTCAGTTTGTGCTTTCAGTGGGAAAGTATCAAAATCAGTGTATTAATTTGCCAAAGATCCCTAAATGTATGCGGTTGGCCAAACTTGTACTCTTAATTTTGAACTCCTGAATGTTATAAGATAATTAGTCATTGTTTTGCATAGTTTGTAAAGCAATTTAATCAAATAAACAACCTGTATGAAGA